CAGAGGCGAGTGTCGGCCGGGTCTGTAGACAGAGGCGAGTGTCGGCCGGGTCTGTAGGCAGAGGCGAGTGTCGGCCGGGTCTGTAGGCAGAGGCGAGTGTCGGCCGGGTCTGTAGACAGAGGCGAGTGTCGGCCGGGTCTGTAGACAGAGGCGAGTGTCGGCCGGGTCTGTAGGCAGAGGCGAGTGTCGGCCGGGTCTGTAGACAGAGGCGAGTGTCGGCCGGGTCTGTAGACAGAGGCGAGTGTTGCTTGTGAAAGAGTGAAGATGAGCATGGATAGTTTGTACCTGTAGATGAGTGTGGGTTAAGGTGCCCATATAAACATCTATATGAACATTCAATTCAACGGGTTTAAATAAAAATCACCAACCAGGGGCCCTTCCTTCCATCGAATTAGAGAGTTCTTGATCGATTTTGCACCTGCCACGTCAATGGACTGTGGTGAAATTTTGTTACTTCTGATCGTTCAAACAAATATCTCTGTGTGTGTGTGTGTGTAAGAGAACGGATTAGAATGCAGATCTAGTAAACAATCAAACAAATGATCGTTCACATTTACTAATGATTGTTTGTATTTTTGCGGCATCTTCAGTTGATGAATATTTTCAGTCGATTGCAAAGCACAGAACGATACTATGTATGTTTTATCGTTGATAATATGAAACGCTTGCTTGCTGTTACTTGTACCTAAATTGATCATGAATCACTATGTGTATGGCCACCATTAGATCTATACAGATGGAGATGTGTATGTAAGTTATGACTCTACAAAGAGTGATGAATATGGTTTAAGTGTCTTGAGGGTGGGATTAGCATGAGCTACCTCTGCATAGATGAAACCTAGTGTGCCCTTACTCGGGAGTAAAGATTCCTGCACTGAGTTTGACAGCCGCCAATAAATATTTGCAGGCCTCCAAGATTCGTCAGGGGTTTCCTCTGCGTACACTGCATTTCTACACTTCTTAGAAATGATTGGAGCAGGATTGCATTTTTGCGCATTTTTGGTCCTCTAATCTGTGGCCCATTGCTACCGTGTAGTGCAGTACCCTCCGGAGACGTCTAGAAGCTTGCAGATGGTCAATGATGGCTATCAAAGTCGGTAGAGGAAAGCAGGCCTGAAGCTCTTGGATCTTAAATGGCTCCATAAAAGCAAGCCCGTCTCCTGATTTTGAGCCTCCTGATAATCAAGCTAGATTGTTTGTGATGGCGTAGAGCAGGGGTAGCCAAACTCTGGCCCTCCAGCTGTGGTGAAACTACAAATCCCATGATGCATCTCTCTCCGGGATTCATGTCTGTGGATGTGAGAATCTTTGAATGCCTCAAGGGATTGGTAGTTTCACCACAGCTGGAGGGCCGCAGTTTGGCTACCCCTGGCGTAGAGGGTGATAGCAAGGCGTAGAGGGTGATAACAAGCATTATGGGTGCTGGAAAAGCTTCACAATCTTTTCTTTTACTATGGAGAAGAGGAAAAAGATCAACGTGCAGAGCAACCATTACCCAACTGTGAGCATCACCTGTAAAAACTGAGCCATTTCTGACCTAGTAGAGGACAGAAGCAAAAGCCCTGGCAGTCCCTGACACCTGTAAGCGTAGATGTGAAATAGCACTTTTTAAAACGTTAGCTAACCTGTGTACATGCATTAAAATCGCATACGTGTAATTGGGCCTTTAAGTATCAGAAGGACCATGCGTGTATTGCGGCAACAGACAATACAGTGGTACTTCGGTTCACGAATGCTTCGGTTTGCGAACAGGAAGTTCTGCTAAATTTTGCCTCCATTCGCAAACTCTGCATTGGGGGACGAACAAGACCGTGGCCATCTTCCCCGCTCTGACACGTGGCCGTGGCTTCCTCTAGCCGAGATCGCGGTCACAGACAGACTTGTACACACTTGCTGTGAAGCTTTTTTTGTGTGTTTTAGCACATACAGTACTATTCAATCCAGCAAGGGCTCAAAAGAAAGTGCAGAGCAAGCATGGTGGTAAAAAGAAAGTGAATCTAATGAATGACAACGTGGTCTCTCATTTCAGGAGGGTTATGCAGCGCATGAAAAAACAAGTAACGTTAGACAGTTTTTTCACCAAAATTGACCCTGCAGCTAGGAGACAAAGAAGAGAGAAAACCCCTGAAGGAGATCTCCCCAATGTCCTTATGGAGGGGGACTCTCCCTCCAAAAAATAACCTCCTCCCCACCCACCTTCCTGTACTCCACGCCAGAAGTTGCCCCAAGAAAGGTTAGAGGTCACTCTCTTCATACTGTACTGTGCTTTGTTTTATATTTTTGTGGTTACAATTTTTTTTACTTATGGTTCACAACGGATTAACCTCATTTACATTGAACCCTATGGGGAAATTTTATTCTGTTTGCGACCAAAATCGGTTCGCGACCACGTTCGTAGGTGTCAGAATGGATTAACCTTATTTACATTGAACCTTATGGGGAAATTTGATTTGGTTCGCGACCAGAATGGTGAAACCAATTAAGTTCGTTAACCGAGGTACCACTGTAGTTCTGGGCAGGATTCAGTCCTCTTGTAAAGATGAGCAAATATCTCCCCACCTGATATGTATGGGCATTCTTTTCTGAAGAGATCATACCTTTTGCTGTTGCTCTTCCAACTTCAGAGGTTGAAATACAGTGGGGGGAATTTATCAAAACTGGAGCAGACAAAATCTGGAGCAGCTGTGCATGGCAACCAATCAGCTTCCCTCTGTCATTTTAAATCTTAACTGAACAAACTGAAGACAGAAGCTGATTGGTTGCCATGAGCAACTGCT